CAGTAATCCTTATTTAGACAGGTATATGAAATAAAGATGTTCAACAATGGCCTATACAAAATCCAGGTTTTACTTATTAAAGTAATTATTTAGGCACACCTGAAAATGAGATATACAAATACTGGGTATGTGAAAGATTCTTCAGAGAATTCTTAAAATGACATATAGCTTGCGTAACATATTTGTGTCCATACAAATCCTAATTTTCACATCAAGCAGAAGGGAGAAAATTTTTTTAAGCTGCCTTTATTGCCACGCCAAAACCCTCATCTCCAAGGCCTTGTACAAAGCTGAACTAGTCAATTTGTAATTAAATCTTATAGGATACAGCAGTGATACTCATTACAGAAAAGGCATTTTATAGTCAGCAATCTTATTTTCAACTAACAGGATGACACAAAAGTCACAGTTCATAGAAGCTTTATGTCTGTTATTTCATGCTGGAATAATGCTGCACAAACCAATTAGCCAGTGTAATAGTGTCAAGATGTATTTAAAGAAAAAAATGGATCTGGCAAAATGCCTCTGCTTTTCTCATATCTACAAGGACCTGTGTATTACTGAGACCATAGGTTTATTTTTGAAGGATCAGCCTTTTGGGGTACTAAGAAATAAATCTCATAAGCCAATTAGACTATATATAATTAATATAGAATGGTATAACTCCCACTCCACAAATAAAATTTTTCTTACACTTGGAAAAAAAACTGAATAAAAAAACTCCAAAGTGAATAAAAACTACTAAAATTAAAGCACTTCAGTTAGTGCATCCATTAAGGTGAATGGAATGAAAGAATACAATGGTTTTGGCAGACAGCTGAATTAAGGTAGCAATGCACTGATGGCAGTCTGAAGGTTTTTTACATCCATAAGTGCTTGTAAGCATGGCCTATTTTTTTGTTTGTTTGTTTTTTTTGTTTGTTTGGTTGGTTTTTTGTTTGTTTAAAGAAAATTCATTCAGGAATATCACAGAAAAAGGATGGGAAATGAGAGAGAAGGAAGACTGAAAAACTAATGAAAGATTGGAAAGGGGATAAATTTACTACTTTAAATTACACACAAAGTTCTGATTCCCAGAAAACTTCTTTCATCAGATTCTTGTAGATATCCAGGTAACTAAGATCTGAATAAGGTTTTACAGAGGAGTGCTGAATGTTTGTACACCTATTATTCAAATTATGCATCTATTATGTACATAAATCTGTGAATAAGGATGCCACTGGTTCTCAGAAAGTGACCAATTCATGCAAGTTCTACTAACATGAAATTATAATATTCAGTTACATTTTTAAATGACAAGTGAATTTCAAAAATAATAAAACTAAATAGACAAAACTGTCACATCGCAAAGCTTTGTCCTGTGACTAAATGATTTTTGTAGGAAGATGCAAAGATCTTCATATTGCTGCATCTCAGAATCTGGAAGTATGAATGGAAAAAACTATTTTGTCCCATATCCTGACTACAAGCTCCTCTCTAGTCAGTGCGGAGGACAGTTTCGGTCTAAATCTGTAGATAAATCTCATTTGGATATTCACATTGCCTCTCATATATTTATATGACAATTTCTAATTACATTCTGCTATGATGGAGCAGTGACACTTTTTCCCCTTTTAAATATTCAATACTGTTTTAATTGGCTGAACATTTCATTTTCACATTTAGGTAAAATAGTAATTTTTTTATATATTCAAAAAGGACAGCCAGGTGTATTTGTGAACACTAAAGAAGCATTACAGCAGGATAATTGTAAGACCACTTCAGAAATGAAAAAAGTTAAAGCTGCTTTCAAACATGGAATTATGGAGGAGCAATTCTACTTCATTCAGCAGGAGGTTTATACCTTCCTCTCTTTCTTTTCTTTAGAAAGAAATGAAAATACCAGGCTTAAAGAAACAAAAAAATGGAAATATTGCTGTGGAATTACTAGATAGCCCATCTTGCTGATAGTTTATGGAGCAAAAGAAGAAAATGGAAATTAGTGAGTGAAACATGAATTTCTACAACTAGGATTCTAAATGTAAATGTCTAGATTACTGCTGATGTTCTGAAGAGCTAAGAAAGTCATGTACTTTTCATTAAGCAGCAATGTAGTTAGAACAGATAAACTCCCTTTTCCTTGTGCCTAGTTTTCCTTTACTTTTCATGCATTACATAGAAATGAACACAGATGGGATAAGAAAATTAAAAATCCAAACCCATCAAATGAATAACACAAGCATTGAAATAATGTCTATGGTATTTAGGTGACATTTTCCGGATGAAAAATGTACATAAAAATGTTAGCCAAAAATATTTTCACTTTAAAAGGAAAACTATTATATAAATTACTGTGTAAAGATTTTTTAGTATTTAGTAAGTTTAACATCTTTAGCATTACATGCTCAAAAGTAAACTATCACAGAATGTATTGTTTCTAAAGGAGAAAAATGTTGACTTTTCATGACATACTGTTTCCTATTCAGTATTTGAAACTCATGCTTGATTTGTAAGTGTTTAACTAGACATAAGTTTCAGGTTTGTGTTCTTGAAAAAGAACTAAGAATTAAACAATTTAAAAGAATTATGTCTCCATAGTGCTTTTCAGTGCTGTATTTGTCACCACTGTTTATTAGATAGACACAAAATGTTGACGCTCATAATTTGACTTACAGATTTTTCATTTAAATACTGTGAATTCTAAATGATTGATTTAATAAGCTGTCTTTCATAAAGCCTTAGTAAGTACTAATATAATAAAAATTTCATTCAACAGTGGAAGTGGTGGGAAAGGAGATACAGGAATAATTCTTAATCCATGCAGTATAAAGTTTGTCATTTGGTCTAAAATAAACTGTTCTTGTAAAGAGGAAAGAAACTAATTGCATTTGGTTTATGCTTCATCCTAGTATAGAAGATTCACTTCTCAACTGAAAAGAATTAATTGATTTCTGAACATATTTGACTGCTATAAAGACTGAGAGTAAAAAATTGCAATATACCAGAAACGTTGGTCTTATTTTATAGTTTACATGTCCTTTACTGAATTAATTTCATACCACAAGTTGGGAAGTGGCAGCAAAATATAACAAAGCATCTTTCTAATATTCTGTCCTAGTTATAGGGAAAGGAGGAGGGGTTTAGCATTAGATGTGACCAATTATGTATTTTACCCCATTTCGTCATTTCTGACGGACCATCTCAGCACAGGAGGCGGAACTGTTTCTGTTGCAGTTTCTGCTTCGGCTGTTACTGTAGCCACCACTCCCACCCACCCAGAGGTGAAAGATCTTACCAAGGGCCCACCCTGCCACAAGCTGCTTCAGGTGTTTGTGATTTTTGCCATGGTGATAGACTGGCACCAATACTTTTTGCAGTGGCTGTTGCCTGTTGCTTGCCCTACAGACTGAGGGAGAGTCTGCAGTCTTCTACTGTTGGCTGTTCTCTAACCACATACGGAAAGTAAGATGCAACAAAAATATAGTTTGAGTCAATGTGACCTTTATTCATCGAAAATGTGCTGATTGACTTTTAGAAAAAATGCATTATTTTAAAATTAAAGGTTATTAACTTTCAGGATCAGGACTTCAATAAACCTCCACCAAATTGCACCCTAGATTTATCTCTGTTGTCCAACAGTGCATTCCCCTGACCCCAAAAAGAGGATCTAGTGACAAAGAAAGTAATTTAATCTATCTTTAATATAAATAATTTCAACAAAACCCATTGCTAGCACATACTGAAAGACTCATTAGGAATCTTGACAAAATGATTAGTTGCTATTTGATGCCAGTTGGAGACATAAACTATCCATCGAATGACTGTTATCTATCTACATGATATTAAATAAAAATTCAGCTTTTCCCAAATAATATTAAAAAAACATAATCTAGTGTAAAATCTCTTAATTAGTTGGAGGTTTCAACTGCAAAATTCTTGATAGAAATAGCCTGTATGAATACTGTTCCATCAGGTAGCATGGTTCTGATGAGCCCTGAATGTGACTTGCTCCCAGTGGAAAGCAATTTAATGCTCTACTGCACATAGAATAGTATATATGAATGAAAAAAAAATCCCCAAAATAAAACAAACAAAAAATCTCCTACCAAAATAATTACTGACAGGTACACCTGAATAGGAGTGCTTATTAGCCACTTGTCTGTAGCCAGGCAAGATTGTTTCACCTCAGTTTAAAAAATAAAGACACATGGCAGGCTGCCTCTGCAAGTTCTCATTAGGCAAACAGCCTCCACTGTCCATTAGAGGAAAAGTATCCCTATTATTTAAGGAAATGTGACAACAGTGGAGGTGAAGTGATGGCAGGAAATTCATCAGTGCATTACAAAGCTTTTTGCTTTCTACAACTTTCACCAGCCTCTTTCCACTTTTTTATCTGACAGCTCAAATGTCGCAGGGTTGTAGTCATGGCAGAGGTCAAGAACAACAGTAGGGCTATAAAATTAGATTCTTTAAGGGGGGTAGACTGCCAAGCACAAATAAGTTTATTGAGCACAAGACAATGAGATAAGAGCTCACATCTCAACAAATGTATCCAAGTAGCTACCATTATTTTTGAAAAAACATTAAGAACCTTAAAAAAGATTTAGAACTTTTACATACTTTCTGAAATCTAATAAAACTAAGGAATATTAAAATATCTGTCATATCATAAATATTGGAAAACCTCATTTATGTTGGGAGCCATTGTAAATATGCATAACTAATAAGTAGTCTTTGTTTAAAAAAACACAAACTTCTATGTCAATCACAAACTATGAATTTAAAATATTGATAGAATAATATGTGGGTTATATCAGGCGCACTTACTGCATATATAAATGTGTTTTACTAAAGACTAATTTACTTCAGCACGATGCTCAATTAAAAAATAAACAGAAAATGGCTTCTTCCCTTAATAAAGACAAGGTTTGCAATGCTACAAATGTCAAGTTTAAAGCTAAGAGTTTTACCATCTTTATTGTTTCACAATCAGTGGTAGAAATAAGGTGAGTTTGAATTACCTTTCAAAATGTCCAGTAGTGCTCTTCTCTGGTCAAGGAACAGGTTCGGTGTCTGAATAAAAAAGCCACAATTGAAATTCCTGCTAAAACAAAGAAGACAAAGACAGTATCTTAGCTTGCTATTCTGTCAAAATGTTAATTTTTACACATACACATATTCAGTATGTGCAAGGAAAAAAAGAATGCACCCCACATCTTGAAGATACCCCTTTTCTGGTTTCTTATTTGAGTGATACAATTAGTTATCCTTCTCAATATATCCACTGAAATAAAAAGTAAAATTATAAACATAACAAATAAAATGCCTGTAAACTTCATCAGGCCCAGTGAAGGGAAAATATACCTAAAACTGCAAAACTTCTGTGCAGTAAAGAAACATTTATGGCTTGTATAGAAGTGGCATCATAAGGACAGAAAATGCATCTTTTATTAATTAAGAAAAAAAGACATAGTCAGTACTATTTACAATATTATGTTTTTGTGATTAATACTGAAAGCACCACTGACTGTAATACATACTGTAGAAAAGGATTTAATTAAAACTTAAAATTTGGTCAGGAAACAGTATCTAGATAAAAAATTAAAACTCAAAGAATAAATCATCATTAAAGTGACAACAAATAATAAGATATAGTGAGGTAATTCCTCAGTGATTTTAATGTCTGATACAATGAAATAAAAAATATGCCTCAATTATATAAAGAAGTAGTATTTGTGGTGAAACTGACCCTATTTGAAGAAGCTTTAGTACAATTTGTGGGATAAATTAAAGATGGCAGAGTCATGAAATACCTAAGTTCTAGCAATTTCTTAGAGGAACCACAATTTTTTACAATTGTTAAATCTTTAACTATATTTGTGGCAATAGCATCAATCATAAAGATTCATTCTGGTATTTTTGCAAATAGATAATAGTTGTTATCACAGTTATTTTCCATTTTCTGCTTACTATTAAAAATTAATTTCAGATAAGGGTTGTGTGAAAAGTATAACAATATATAAACCAAGATGAAATCTAACTTTGATGAATTTAAGGTATTGCAGGAACTCATACAAACCTCTTCTTAACAGTACTCCATTCTATACCTAGGAAGACCTTTAACTTTCTTTTATAAATAAAAACATAATTCTATAATAGAAATAAATAAATCAAATAGATAAATACAAATTTATAAATAGTAAAAACAAACAACTCCCCCAAAATATACTTTTAGGTTTGAAAGGAACTCAACTCAACTCTGTGTAGTTGGAAAAGTGTTGTAGTAAGAAGTACTTTATCTGTGGAAAAAAAAGCCAATGGGCTGGATTTAATTTTTTTCAATGGATCTGTATCAGGAAATACCAAGAACATCATGTTGAGTAACTTTTATAGTTTATTGAAAACCTGCATGAGCTAATAATCCATGGCTGCATGTCAATGTCAGTGTCAGTGATAGGTGAACACAGCGTGCTATCATACATGCTGTATCCATCTGCAAGAGGGAGTTACCTCATGGAACTTTTTTAATATCAACTAAACAGCTGCTCATATTTTAGTTCAGAGCTCTGACTTATGGACAAGCAGACTAGAAGGCTGTGACAGGAGATGAAAATTGGGCTTTATGATGATGTTATTCAGATATTATGACAACATGTCTCAGGGGACAAAAACAACACCCAAAATCTGTGCACATGTATATGTTAAGAAACATTACTGTATCATCTATCTTTAATACCATTGTAAATATCTTGTACAATCTTGAAAGCCCTGAAAAGGAGTCAGAAGGAGGTCTTGAAGGTGTGAAGAAGGACAACTAGATTTCTCATTAACATTAAGTAAATTCTAATGTAAATTTAAAATATCTCAATTTCAAGGTTCAAAAGATAGATGAGGCAACTTCAAGAAATAAAACGAAAAAGTAGTAAATTAGTTAAACTACATAACTTTTACTGTCTCAGGCAACTTATTCTGCTGTTACCTTATGGGAAAGATATTTCATCTTCAGGTAAAGCTGTACGGTCAGCCAGAATGATGCTTGCTGTCACATCAATTTTTTATTCTTCCACATCTGAATATAAGATTGGAAAGAATGACTGAAGAATAGCTTTTCTCACACAGAAAAGTAGATGAAATATAGACCTTCCTCTCCTGATTTCATTGTTAGAATTTGAAAGACAGAGCAGAACAACAGCTGTTTATTTTTGCGGAAATCATGGCTCAAAGATAGATTGGCCTAATCATTTTAAGCCAATGACAAGAAACTTGATAGCCTTAAAAAGATGAGGGAAATTACTTCTGGCTGAAGACAGCAAAGTGGGCGGATCAGCCTAACAATAGTTAGCACTATCTTTCCTTAAACTATCTGTAAAAAAAATATCATTATGGAATGCTGTAACAATCCAATAGCTGTTAAAAATCCTTTTTCTTGACTATTTTAAATAATAGACATTTATTGAGAATATCAGAGAATTCCCAAGTGTTCCAATAATATCAGTGACCTCCCATGACGTTTTAATTCATATGTACCCACTAGAACATTCACATTCAGAATATACAGTGATCTTCTTATTTAATATTATGCACAATAGGGATAGTCTCTCCTTAAAGGTTTAAAACACAATTCTGATACTCTGTCTATTTTCATAAGTAGTGGGGTGGTTATAAATGGTCAAAGCAATGAAGACCCTACAGCTAAATTCTGTTAACTTGGATAGGAAGATTTATGTGGTGTTATAGTTAGTTTGACCATCTGCACTAAATGTAATCCATGCAAAAATCCCACAAGGGCCAACAGCTCTCTCCAGGCTGGGAACAGTGGAGGAAACCCATGGTGGGAAACAGAACAGGTTCTGGCAGACATACTTTCCCATCCAGGAAGCCGGCAGTCAGTGGACACTGCGGCAGTCCCAACCCCAGCACCAGTGCCTGATACAACCCTGGAGTGGCTGTACAGGTCTGTGGGGATGGACTCGGGACATTAGCCCATAGGTGGACTGCTATGAAACACTTTTTCTCACAAGCACAGATAAAACTACGCTCAAACCTTTGGTGAGCCCAGCAGAGAGAAGCTGGTAAAGGAAGAATTAAGAAAAATGAAAAATATAAAAAAATAAAATTAGAGTAGCTCAGTAATAAGATACAGTATGCAAGAAAAAGGTACTAAGAACAGGAACAGGAAATTACATCAAGACAAGAAAACAACCGTCTGTGGATACAAAAGAATTGCCTGTTAAACCTGAGGGCTGGTGACTGATGAACTAGTTTTGTCTTCATATAGAGCATTTCAAATATGATTGGAGTTCTCAGTGGTTTGAAAACTTTCTTTTAGTATGAGTGCTTGGTAGGCACTGAAGTAAGTGGTACAACCACAGGATTTTCAGTTCTCCTGTGTGCCCTACAAGAAAGAACATGGTACTCTGCTGGAGTGGATTTTCCAGTTTATTTTAGTCTGAAAGTAGTCTTACTTAATATATACTTTATAGTCAAAACCAAACACAATAAATGAGAAGGTTCAGGAGGTTTATTTCAGAAGTGCATTATTGCTCCAAACTAAAATGTTAATGCAGATTTATCTTCTGTCAAATTTTAACTTTGGGAAAACTAGAATTAGTACTAGACAACCCTCCCATCAACATAACTTTTCTCTGCTTTTCTGTTGTGAGGCAGTCTCTAGAGAAGCTATGAACTCTCATCATCTTCTAAAAGCATGGAACTTATCAATAACAATTTCTTTTGTCAGCATATTAACACGAAATTAAATATTGAGGTCTACCAAGTACAGTTTTGGTGCTGTCATGCGTTTTCCAGGATCTCAGAAATAGCTTCAGTAGAATGAGACATAACATCCAGTTCAGTCTGGCTAATAGTAAGTCCAGTAAAACAGAATTTTGCTTCAATTATTCAAATATTGACAACACATACTGTCTCAAAGTCATGAAACTTGGAGAGCACAAGCAAAGCATATTCAAAAGGAACACACCCTAATATAAGATACATAAACGTTCAGAATAAGATGAATACAAAGGGACGTAAATTATCTCAGATACATTAAAGAAGAAATAATTGATCAACCAGATATGAAAATTGCAAAATCAACACAATAAATGCAGTAACTTTAAAATAAACTAACTCATCCACATAATAAGGTGTACTTTCTACTCTTCCTACCTTCAACCTTTGCTATTCTGTAGTTTAATGTCAGCAGTATATTATTTATGAATATGCCATTATGAGGCAGCATAAATAGTTCTATTGCTAGATACTAAAACAATGAAGAAAAATTATTGTTTTCTATTTCCCTACTTTTTCTTTCAACTGCCTGTTAACAGAACAAAGCTTCAATCAGAATAGTAATTTAAAAAATATCAGTTAGTAAAACCAAAACCATGAATCTATAAATCTAGCAGTCATAAAACTACAGCCAATTATTTATAGTGATTTGGTATGACAAAACAACCCACTCTGTATACTCTATATCAATTTAGAAAAATGTGTAGTTAGCTGAATGTAAGACATTTTTCTTTTCCTGAAAATATTAGGCAGTTATCTAAGAAAATAGAGACACAGTACTCCTTCACAGTAGATTAAATTTTCTGACCTCAGCAAAGCAAGACCAGACACTTATATACATTCTTATTAAAAATTAAGCAAAAGCTCATAAATAACAATGATATCTTTTTGAAGATATCATTCCCAAAGATCCTTTAGAGAAATTATGTCTTCAAAAACCATATACTATTTAAATTCTTGAGGTTACTTTACTTCAGTTTCTGTCTACAAACCTTCCGTTCAGTTCCTCTGTCCAACAGTTCAGTGTATTTTGTATTTTGTTTGAGAGATGGCTGCATTTTAGAATTGGATTAAATAATAATCAATATTCCACTTTATGTACATTTGAAAAATACTTTGCAATGAAAGGTGCTTTTAACATGTGAAATGATACACAGGTGATTGTCTAAAATGAGTTTGTCTTTTGGAAGACAAAAGAAATTAAAAGAATCAGGGATGGTGTTATGTATTTCCTTATCAGAAAAAGAGAGCAGGACATGCTTTTTATCACCATCTCCATTATTCCTTGTTATTTCTAATGACCCTCTGATT